CTGCTGCTGCTGCTGGTGTTGTTGGTGCTGCTGCTGTTGGTGCAGAAGCAGCAGCTGAAGAGGAGGAGGAGGACGAGGAGGAGGAGGTGTGTTGCTGTTGAACGCGTGCTGCTGCTGCTGCTGCTGGTGCTGCTGCTGCTGCTGCTGCAGCAGGTGCTGCTGCTGCTGCTGCAGCAGCAGCAGCACGATCTTGAGCTGGCAGCAGCACAGACAAAGAAGGCAGCAGCTGAGACAAGGCGATTTGTCTGTGTTCTATTTCTCTCTGTTCAGGCAGATGCCCCCACCAAAAGGAAAATAAAATAAAATATGCAGCAGCAGCAGAATCCAGCAGCAGCAGCAGCGGCTTCACAGCAGCATCTCCCACCAACCCAAACACACTCCGACAGCCACGCATGCACACACAAAACAAAAAACATAAACAGCTCAATATATATTCTACAAACAACACAGCAGCACTTCTCCCCCTCCAGCTGCTGCTCCTGCTGCTGCTCCTGCTGCTGCTGCTGCGCCTGCTGCTGCTGCTGCTGCTGCTGGTTATCATCGGAGACACCTCGTCCTCTCCGCTTACTTTCCTGCTGCTGCTGCTGCTGCTGCTGCTGCTGCTGCGCTCGCCAGCAGCATACCCTCTACCACCCCTCCAAACAAGCTGTCCAGGCCTGCTGCTGCTGCTGCTGCTGCTGCTGCTGCTTTTGCTGCTGCTGCTGCGTCGCTGCCGCAAGAGGCCAGCAAACCACGAGGGTTGCTTCTGCGAAGAGCTGCTGCGGCTGCTGCTGCTGCTGCTGCTGCTGCTGCTGCTGCTGAGGGGCCCTCCCGCCCCTGCAGCGAGGAGACGTCTCGGCGTTGCTGCCAGTTGCTGCTGCAGCTGCGGGTCGTTTGCTGCTGCTGCTGTATATCCCTCTATCCTGTGCTGCTGCTGCTGCTGCTGCTGCTGCTGTGTGGCGCCTGCCGTTGGATCTGTACAAGCTGCTGCTGCTGCTGTTGCTGCTGCAGTTGCTGCAGTTGCTGCTTCTCGTGTTGCAGCACAAGCGAGAAGACAAGCAAAGACAAAGAGCCTCCAATAAAAGAGCGGCAGCAAAGACATGCAGCGCAGCAGCAGCGACAGCAGCAACCCGTGCAGCAGCAGCAGCACAACAGAACCAAAAGACAGCAGAGGGTCCTCCCAGTTGAATGCATATTTTATTTTATCTAAACATTGAGCTGTATAGCCAAACACCAGCTGAACAACACACACACAC